GGAAGGAAGGAAGGAAGGAAGGAAGGAAGGAAGGAAGGAAGACAGAGGAAGCAGAAAGAAAGAAGTAGGAGCAACAGCAACAGAGGCTCAGCAAATACTGAAAGCTCAACTCGAAGGCTCGGATCCATGTCACTTTCATTGCAGCACAGTCCCCCATCTAACACATCCTAATTTAGTAGAGATCCAGAGGGCTTTCCTTTCATAGCTGCTACTCTACATGGGAGCTGCTTCAAGTAGAATCCCAAAGGAATGACAAGCCAGAGCACCCTGAGGTCTGGAAATTTGGTGTCTTATATGTAAATTTAAAATATACCAGCACAATGGTATATACCAGTAATTCTAGCTACATGGGATTTTGTTTCTTCTCAGAGCTTAGCACAGTGGATAGAGTTAAATCAACATTTTGGGGAAGGTTAACAGTTTGAAGATAGCAAACCATATTCCATGAAAATTGAGGACAGCTTGTAACGAAAGCTACTTAAAAAGAATGCCAGGGGCTGGGATTGTGGCTCAGCGGTAGAGCACTTGCCTAGTACTGGCAGGACCCAGGTTCGATCCTCAGCATCACATAAAAATAAAGGCATTGTGTTGTGTCCATCTACACCTAGAAAATAAATGCTTAAAAATTTTTTTTAAAAAAGAATGCCCGAGTCCTTGAAGAAACAAATCCTGTTTAATTGTTCAACAAGGTTTAAGAAAAGCATTAGAAGAAAAATTAAATCATGCTTCAGTGAGAAAAAGCTTACCTAAGGCTTCTAGCATTCACTCAACTATCTACTTTACCATATGTCTACCAGCTATCTACCATGTGGCAGACCTGTTTTAAGCTCTAGAGGTACAGCCATAAATAAAACAAAAATCCTCATCCTCATGGATCTAACAATAAGAATATAAAATAAAATAAAAATTCTAGTGTGTCAGGTGATGATAAGGAGAAATATTAGGTAGGGAGGATACATGAAGAATTCTGATGTGGAGTGTGACAATTCAGGCAAGACTTGAAGGAAGTAAAAGAGTAAGCTAGTGGAGATGTGGGGGATGTCAACATAACTTCTATAATCCAGGACACCCATGAGAATGAAAGGGGACACTATTAATAATTATACAAGTCAACAAGTTCAAAACTGTTCTGGGCCCGGCATGGTGGAGCACACCTGTAATCCCAGTGGCTCAGGAGGCTGAGTCAGGAGGACTGCGAGCTCAAAGCCAGCC